CCAATACTGTATTCTTAGGATCTCACCATATATTGCATATCAAAGATGCGCTGTATCGCTGCGTTCAGTGCTCCTCCGTCTCCTCGGCATTGAGTCACATATGAACTTCTCTATATATACATACATCTTCTCTACAGGCTGTCCCCCGCTTTTAGCTCTCCTGAGTACAGTGTTCTGGAATTCTCCTTCTAATGTGCTTTTAAAATCCCATTTACTGCTTATGTTTTCTTAAAATCAGACTACTGTTTTGTTTGGTTTTTCTTTCTCAATCCATTCAACATCATTGTACTGTTATTTTTTACATTCAAAGCATTTCATGTTTGACGTTACATACTTTTTAAACCCTTGCTTGTTTTTTTGTTTCATGACATTTTAAAGGGTTTTGCGATACTAAAAAACTAATTCATTATTTATTATTATTACTATCCATTGGTCACACTTTAGTTTGGGGTTCAACTCTCACTATTAACTGTTAACTCTGACTTTTGCCTCAATAAACTCCTAATTTGATGCTTATTAATAGTTAGTAACATAGTTAAATTTAGGATTAAGGGATCTAAAATATACTCATGCAGAATTCTTCATTAATATGTGCTTTACAAATACTAATAAACCGCCAATATGGTAGTAATATGCATGCTATTACACAACTAGTTAATAGTGAGAATTGGTCCTTAAAAAAAGTGCTAGCTTTATTATTATTATTGAGCATATAAGAGCCATTCCTCCTCAGTTCAGGGGAAAAAGCACATGTCTCCTCTAGCCATCTTTATGCATGAGCTTTCTCAGCTGCTCTTAATTACACACACGCACCCACACACAATAATAGGAGCCCAAGGGATGTTCATCCCTCTCTGCCATGCTGACAATCACAAACCAAGGGAGGACATCCTCCCATAACCTCCTTCATTTGTCCATCTCTCGGTTCTATTTATAAGCGGTTAATCTTTGGCGGTTGTAATCCAGGAGGCCTGACTGCAGGGTGGGGAACTTTCTCTTCTCCGCGTGCTGTTGTCACATTGGGTTTCATGTGACTGCTGTCTACCTAGTCAGTAGCACAACACCTCGTTTCAGGTAACAGGGTTGAGCTGAAGCCGTTAGCAAGCCTTGATTGAATCCTTTGAGCTTATACATGTATATATGTAGATGTGCATCTTTCTATGAAACTCCACAAAAACACATGCAGACTTTTTGTTACTTCTTCTGTGGCATACCCATTATGCTCAGAAGTGCTATTCTAATGAGAAATAATCCACAGAACTGCTAGCTCGGAGACGGAACTGATCAAATGGGTCCTGGCATTACTTCTGTGATGTAGTTTGACCATGTGATCATGCTGGTTTCATCTGGCCCCCCGACTGAACCTGGTTTCTCCCGAGGTTTTTTTTTCTCCATTTCTGTCAGCGATGGGGTTTTGGTTCCTTTGGCTTGTTTAGTTGGGGACGCTTGACTGAGTGCACAGATTCTATTGGACGAGAGCTGAACTGAACGATGACATCACTGAATCACCAATGAACTGACTTTAGCTGAGAAATGACTGTTTGTTATTGTCTTCTTGCATTATTGACGCACTATTGTTCTGTTTAATACTGTAAAGCTGCTTTGACACCATCAGTATTGTATAAAGCGCTTTAGAAATAAAGGCGACTTGACGGGGTTTTATTGCTCTTTCCCTTGAGCCTCTGACTCGGTCGTTCCCCGTCACTGTTTACAGGTCTAAACATCAAGAATCATGTTTTCACAATGTAATACCTAGGCTTCACTCACTCCAAGTAGTAGTCAAGTATATACTACTAAGAATAAGCTTAAAACCTGTCCCTTCTGCACATCTGCAGCTGAATTAATGGGCTTTCAGTTCCATTCAGCACAGGGTTAGATGTGTCTGACTCTGAGCCGGTTTGGTGGAAAATAAAAGCCTCTATTTGTGTGCTTGCACATCATTTACAGGATTTATTGGCCGCATCTATTTCAAAGAAAACCAGAAGTCTGAACACCTTGTGACAGTAATTAATATCTTGATCAGAGTGCAAATATCGGTGTCATCTTTAATAATCGAGGTTATGGTCATTTCAAGACCTCAAAGAGTAATTTAACACTCCTGTGAGATTATTACTTTCTGCTATAGGAAATAGGATTATGCTCGTAGCCTCGTACAAAGCTAAGCTAATGATGACTTGAGAGATGTAGGCCAGTAATCATTTTAAATACGAGACTGGTTTGGTGCTGTCATCCATCTGTATCTTGATTTCTGTTCATTTCGTTTTAATGAAATGCCGTGGGTCATCAGAGATTAAACCCCTCGCTATATGCTTTCAGCTGAAAATGAGTTCATTCGTTCACTTATGAACTGCCAGATCTCACCGGGAAATTCATTGACGGGTTCAGCCAAACGAACGATATCATCTTTTATACTAAAGTGACGTTCATTGCTAAATCAATCTGATTTAAGTTGTTTGTAGTTGTGAACCGTTCATTTCATTGAATTGTAGGAAAGCGTTTTTGAGGTGTTTCTGATTGCATGATAATTGCATAAGATTTATTTTGTAATTAATATTGTTATGCTGTTGATGTCATTTTTATGCGAGCTGTTAGTGCCACTGTAAGCCAGTTAATGTAACTGTTAATCTACTGTATGTCCACATTTATCGCGAGCATTATATAGAAAGAAGATGCCTGAATGTGTAATGCTCTGGACTGAAGCACTGTTAGATGTAGATATGTGTTTTTACTACATTAGTCACATGTAGTGCCCCACACGTGATTTCGTTTTGCACTGTATTTATGGTAGGTTGTATTGGAAGCAGTGCATAGGCTACCACCTTCTTAGCGCTTGTCATAATGTTTTATTGCAGAGGTGGAGACTTGACATGAATATTGACTCCAAATTAGAGACTCGTGAGCAACACCACTTCTTTAGGTTCACAAGTAAATATTGTTCTGTTGAGTAAACACTAACAGAAACGAAAAGCTTGCCTTTAAAGATCAGCCTACAAAGCCTTCAAAGTTCAGTCCCTTCTGTGAATACTGTATAGACTGTGAATTATTCAGTTAGAAAGTGCATGATATTAAATATGAAAAGGATAATTTTTTAATTAAATCTTGATATGCTTGTTTTTAGCTGTATAAAAATAAAGTATGTTTACATGAAATTAATTGTCCTTTTACCAGAAAGGATTTGGGCTCATGTCTGTCTTTTGAAACGTTTGAGTTTCAAATTCAAATTACTATTTGATTCACTATTGAGTGCATGTGTCTTTCAGGGCCGATATCGATTATTACAGATCAAGTAGACCGATAACTGATATTTTGAACCGTTATATATGTCTGCTGTAAAGATAAATTAATGTCAAAATTAAAAATAACAAGGGCTCTGACAAAAACTTTCTTTAAATGCTTTTAAGTTATTTTATCGGCAAATTTTATCGGTTTTGAAAATTACCGATAACCATAAAAAAGCTTAATATCGGTTCCGATAATCGGTCGACCCCTAACTGTTACAAAACATAACTTTCTTTTTGCTCATGTATTTTGTATTGACCATTTCACCTATGCAGGGAGCTGTTTCTGAACTACATGCTTGCTTTTCTTTTTCCTCCAGGTGACTTGCATTGCATTCAGTGTATTTGATCATTTTCATGCATTCCCGGGGGATCGAACCCGTAACCTTGATGTTGCTAGCATTCTGCAAATACAGGAACGCTACAGAATTGTTTAAATTGTGATGAGCATTCAGTCACCCCAAACTAAGTCTTTGTGTTAACAAGCAATTACAAGTGTCTTTGAATTGTGATTTGTGTCCCAAGGTGTGTTCATGCCAAGGTTTCCCTACTAATAGAACAGTGTTTCCCAACCCTGCTCCTGGTGTACCCCCAACTCTACACATTTTGTATGCCTCCCTAATTCTAACTAGCAGAGACTCAAAAGCCTAAAATGGGTATGTCAGGTAAGGGAATCATCCAAAATGTGTGTAAGGATGCTCCAGAGGAAGGTTTGGGACCCACTGTATAAGACACCAGACTCCAATTAACTACAACTTTTACCTCAAACTCCTAATCACTATCAGACTATCAGAACATGTTATTTTATGGTTCACTGCTTATTTAAAGGGTAAAACCCAATGTGTCCAGGTGGAAGGTGTTGAGTCAGATCTTTTAGAGGTTGTCAAAGGAGTTCCACAAGGATCTGTGTTGGGACCATTATTATTCAGTATA